TACTCCCTTTCCCTTGTAATTTGAACTTGAAGAACTCCCTCTAAGACCATAGATATTCTCCTCTACTCCGGCCGCCATAGAAACAGTACCCCAATCAAGATCATCTCCTATGTACACTTGTTCATCTTCATGATTTTGGGGGGCTCCAGTTAACCATTTATTTGCCTCGTCAATGTTATCCAACAAAATTGGATCACTGGTATCGCAAGCTTCATAACGTCGCCTCAACGTTCTATTGTATTTAATATACACTAGATCACTGAGACGCGATAGCTCAAGCCTATTCCTTTTTTGGAGTGAATTTGCGCATAAATTGTTTAGATTAATTAATAGATACTAATAATAATAATACAATATAAAATATATTAATACAATAAATATGCTTCTTACATGCTCAAATACGCTCCAATTTCTCTCGCATCCAGATGCACTACAAGTTAGGCTTAATACTTTGATGGCAAACTTTTGCAAGTTTGGAGTTTGATGTCCAAATTGCATCCACCATTCAACTATAGAAAAATATTTTAAAAGTTAATAAGTATAAATCAAAAAAATTAAATTAAAGCTATAAGGATATCTATATTAAAGTTAGTTACCTCGCGACCTCATGTCACTTGCTTTAATGGCCGCCTGTAAACCAAATAGGCTATCTGTTTGTGAGTACCTACCAAACTCCTCCCCTATTTGATCTACCATCGCTGAATCGGGGACCAACTTCTCAAGACATTAATGGTATCCAACCCCCACCTCTGAATCCAAAGTGTCATCTCTAGTGTTCTTGTAAAATAATTCCGGGTTCAGAAGATGGCATGTTGCATACAAAGGTCGATGGAGTTGATTCGACCACCTGCTATCAATAATCTCAAAAACTTTCTCATATTTCCTAACATCTCCCTCAAATGACGTTTCAATAGTCTCTTTGACTCTATTCATAGCTTCATAAAGATAGCCCGTTGGTGGTTCTCTCTCCATCCACCATACGAAGCACCCTAATCAAAGGACCACCAACTTTAAGAGCCCGAACGATGTCATTCCAGAATGATGGAGAAATAAGAACTTTGGCAGTTTCTTTCCCCGCAGCTTCCTTTGCATATCTATTATCTTTCCATTCATTTGAAAGAACTAGCTTTCACAAGTTTTTCTTTTGCAAGTAAAAACTATGCAAAGTTAAGAAAGTCGTTGCAAATCTAGTCTTAGCCGGTCTCACCAAATTTCTTTCATTTGTGAATTTCCTCATCAAATTCAACAACGGTCTCTGACTGATGTAAGAATATATCTTGACGGCCTTAGTGAAAACTGGAAAAGTAACAATAACAATTTTATAGTTAATACTTAATAGGACATAAGTATAAATAAAGTTAAAGCTTTAAAGATAACTATATTAAAGTTACCTGAAGCATATGGGTTTTCCTTGAATATGTCACCAAACATCAAGTTGATAGGCAGCACATGGAGTCTAATAAATGTGTGGATACATAGCTTCCATCATCTTACCTGCACTAACATTCTCACTAGCATTATCGGTAACAACTTGTACAACATTTTCCTTTCCAATTTTATCAATAGTCTTTCTAAACAAGTTGTACATTTTGCTTCCATCCGTAAAAGAGTTGTTAGCATCGTAAGATTCAAGAAAAACACTCCCTCTTGGAGAGTTCACCAACACATTTATGATCATTTTCCCATTCTGTGCTGTCCATTTATCCATCATAATGGAACATCCAAACTTGTTCCATTCCACTTTATGCTCTTCAATAATTTTATCTATCTTCTTCACCTCTTTTTTAAGATGAGTTACTCTAACTTCATGATAGATAGGAGGCTTCATTCCTGGGCCATATTGTCCTACGGCCTCAATGAATTTATCAAAAATTTTGTAGTTAACACATCGTACATCCATGCTACAAAGGCACTTACGGCGCGATCCCTCAAAATCTTTTTGGCTTCTAAACATGAACTAGAATCACATTTTCCCTTTTTTTGTTGTTTTGCTGAGAAATAAAGATTGAGAGGACATTTTGTCACCGTACGTGCCGTGGATGACCAACTAGAACTATTTGAAGATATCTTTTGAGTTATTTTTTTTTTTTGGGGGGGGAGGGGCGGAGGTCCAATTTTATCATCTTCATCCATTCATCATCTTCATCAATTAGATTCACCGATGCTTCATAATTCATTTGAGTTTTTGTCACATTTTTCTTCTTAACAAATGCTTTTACTTCCTCCCTAACCTCGGGCGGACAAAGAGGACATTGTACTCTATAAGTCTATAACTGAAAAAACAGAGCAAAAAAACAGAGCCTAAAAAGAAACTCTACTGCCTCTGCTGTTGGTCGAAAAACAGAACCTGAAAAATATTCATCAAATCTTCTTTCACCACATCCCAGCATTGAATAATGCACAAGCCTTCAATCCCTCAATGATTTCTTGCTCTTCAAACTCCCTCTGTAGCCATTGCTCCTCTGCCTCACTAATTCTAGGACAATCTGGAGAATTGAACTCTAGCCTACATGCTTCAGATTCAGTGTATAAGTGCTGATAAAAGGCTAAGATCTCACCCTTTATAACTTCCATATCATCCACTTGTATCTCATTAATTTGTCAATGTTGTTGAACCTTCATGGGCATTTGCAATCCTCTGAAAATATTTAGTATTTCGATCCCTTTGTTTTAACCATTGAACTCTTGATTTCTGCCTCCAAATTAACTCCTCATTTTTGGCAATCTCTTCCAACTCCATGAATAGGCTAGCCTTTTGCACCAACTCATCTTCATAAAGATACCTGAATTCTTGAACCACATCTAGTACAAGAATTTTGTTCAAACAGATAGTTTTCAAAAGCTCCAAATTTCCCCCTTGACTTGTCCTCCATTCTTTCAGCTTATCTTTCAACAACCTGAGTTTTTTTGCTAGAACAAAATCAGGTCTGCCCTATACTTCGAAAGAAACCCACCAGGAAGCTATTTTATCCATGAACCCCTCTGTCCCCAACCACCAATTTTCAAACTTAAAATATGATTTTGTGTTCTCCCAAACCCCACATTGCAGAGAAATAGGAGCATGATCTGAGGAAACTTTTGGAAGAATAACTTGTTTGATATTCCTAAAGTTTTCATCCCAGTCAGCAAAGAACAGAAACCTATCCAATCTCGAAGCTATACGAGAATTAACTCCCCTACTCCATGTGTAAATTCCCCCTACAAGTGGTGGATCAATAAGCTCTAAATCCTCTACAAAATTAATGAACTCTCTCATAGCTCTTGAGATTCTCTTACACCCCCTCCATTCCTCAATAAATCTTGTAATGTTAAAATCCCCACAAATAACCCAAGGCCCTTCAAAAACTCTCCTAGAAGCAGCTAACTCCCACCAAACATTCTCCCTTTCTATTCTACAATGAGGCCTATATACCCCAGACAAATGCCACGAGAAATTTTGATATATAGAAAAGAAACTACAGGTTATGGAGTAGCTCCCAACATTGACTACTTCCCCCCTCCATACTCTGCTATCCCATAATACCAAAATGCCCTCCCTTGTACCGCTAGCCTCTAGATACCCAAATTTTACCTATCTATAACCCCATATCTGTTTCACATACTCCTGTACATCCCCTTCAAGCTTGGATTCTTGAAGACAATAAATGTCTGCCTTCCAATTCTCAATTAGTAGCTTCACCACTCTTCTTTTGTTGACACGATTTAATCCCCTAACATTCCAAGAGATAATATTGACCTTCATTGATACACATTGCTAATAGATTTCCCCCTATTCCTAGAGCTTGACTCCGGAAAATTCATATTGAACACCAAATTCTGAACCTCCAAACTCCTTTTTTTCCTTTTTGGAGTCGTGCACGTCTTCATTGTTGACGCTTCCTTCAACTCTTGTCTACGCCTATCAATTTTGAGAAACAGTGATAGAGCTTCCCTTTCACAGCCCTGAAAATTTACCCCGTGTCTTGCTCAATTTTAGAACGTTTTTATGAACCCACAAAGAAGCCTCCATCTCTGCCTCGATAAATTGCACATCTAGAGGTTCTGCATCATCCACGGATGACGGATAATGTCTCGTGGTCTTCTTCATCCATCAATTGGTTTATTCCTGAAGAAAGAAGAAAATGGAATAATTTCTCTGTGAGAGCAAGTTGCTCCAACCACCTGCTCCCCACCTTGCATGTTCATTACTTCTGTTGGTTCCTCATGTACTACTACATCTTGCAGTTTGTTTGTGACAGAAATAAGAGATGAAAAGGGAGTAGTTTCTCTTTCAGGACATGTTGTTCTAACCACTTCCTCAAACCTTTGCACGTTCATTAGTTCTGTTGATTCTGTGTTGCAGATCTGTTCTTCTCTCTCCAACAGTGCAATCATAGAAAGCGATTCCCTTGTGCTAATGTTCGCTAATAACTCTGTTTCCATCGGGTCGGGCTTATTAAAAGAACCCAGAACCGAAAATCTATTTTTAATTCCCAGATCTGGACTCGTTAATGACCCACAATTGGGCCCAGAAATTAGAAAAACCCCTTGGCCCATACCCTGTGGCCCAGTTGAATACTTCCCAGCTGGCACCTCCTTATCCACTGGGCCATGATTCAAATTCAAACTGCAGTTACCCTTAGTCACGTGACCCATCCCATCACCCCTTTTAACCCCTACGTCATAGTTACTGTTTGTGTCTCCTCTGTTCACCGTCGAAACCTCTGAAAAAGATTTCCATATCACCGGCGCCTCACACCAAATCGGAATTGTGAAGATAATTCCATTTTTTTCTACCTCAATGCTACTGGGAACTGCTGCTACTGGGCCCTTAACTTTCAGACGAGCCCATTTAAGATGGTTACGCAGAGAAGTTTCTTCCTCTGTTTCAATCCAACCACCACATCTATCACCGATCTCCTTGAAAATTCTTTGTGACCATAGATGGAGTGGTAATCCCAATACTCTTCTCCACACCCACTCGAGATTGGCAGTGGCCGGGAAACACTCTGCAACCGGAGACCACCACTCAAGACTCATTAAATTATTTCTCCAACTCCATTCCCAGTGTGTTCAGCTAATTTTCTGGAAGGAAACTCAAATAAGAATTTTGGCCCATGTAACTCATACATCTGGACCCCCGGAATTGCATTCCATTTGTTGCTAGTCCATCTCCGGATATCAGAAAGAGTAGGCAACTCGTTGCTGATTGCGAAGCTCCCGATCACACACCTGCTCAACACGTCTTCATCACCTATAACTGGACCATTCATCACTATGCGTTGTACTGTCGACCGGTTCTCCGACGATGATGTAGAGGCTCCTTTTGCTTCCCACTTGTCGGACCTGAAAGCACCTCTGTACTAAAGATTCGCAACTGGAACTACAGTAGGTTGTCTCTGTGTAGCTGGAGGCTCCCTATTAATGAACCTTTCTATCTTTAAAGCAAGTACCTTCCACCCTGCATTGAATGAAACTTCTGGATGGATAATAACTGCTCTACGTACCCCTTGCACTGCAACCACACTTATGAACCTGCCATGGTCATTGAACTTCTTGGCACAGTAAAAACTGAAGACATGATCCCGGGTCCTCCATCTCCTGAACTCATTCCCTTTCCCATCTGAAGCAATATGCAGAAGCTTACATAACCACAGCATAACCTTCCAACTCAAAGTCATCTTTCTCATGAAATTTGACTTCCTCTCCACCCATTCATACCAAACCTCTGCTCTATCTTTATTTTCTGTAATATCAAAAGACTTGCCACCAGCGTTAAAATAGATTCTGTTTTCCATGATTAAAAGAGAACTAAGTTTTTAACACAATCACTAAGGAATGATTGAAGAAAAAACTAAGTTGGTCTAAACACAAACTAACATCAGACAGTAGACACACTCGCCGGAAAGTGTTTATGACTCTTTCCTAGGGACTCGTGCCTGGGAGCATTAGAACAACAAGAGTTGCTGTCCTAGTTGTTTGTTAGGATAGAGAAAAATGAAGACTAATGCTAATAAAGAAACAGAAAGAGAATATGGCCATATGTAAATAGAAGAACAGCATCCGCAGATGCAGATGCGTTCACTAGATGGGCTTCACAGATGAAACCACTAAAACAAATAGACAGAATATTTTTTTCATTTTCAACAATTTATACTTTAATCAGTTATTAGAAAGTTGCCCAGATTCTAACATTTAACCTACCAAAATTAAAATTGAAGTTGCCAGTGGGAGTTGGATAGAAATTCGCAAAGCTTGCTTTTTGGTTCATTCTGTACTATGAGGAACCTTGCCAACATGGTATAATGAAGACAAAAAAACGATGTTTTACATGGTCAAAGAATGTTTTGTTAAAACAAATGCAGCCCTTTTTCTTTCAGCCATCAAACTCATCCTTAGTATTATAACAATTAGATAGAAGAACTTCAACATTTTCAACAGCTATGGTGGTCAATAAATTTACCTTAGAGAAGTCAGCAGCAAAGTTTTCCCCAAGCAAATTGTTAAGTATATCAGGTGAAAGCATCCTACCGAACCACAAGACAAACCGAAAACCATCATCATAGAGATAGAGACCTTGAGGATCTAAACTCCCTGCAGCAAGTGGAAGTCCATTCCATATGTCTATAGAATCCTCAGCCAAAGATGGTTTCTGGAAAAAGGTGATGCAGATTAGGTTTTAGAAATTCTTAAATATGACTAGATATAATGCAAAAGGGTATACAGAAACATACCTTTAGAAGGTATTCATCTACACGAATCAACTGAGAATAAAGAAGTTTCAACAATGTTTTAACAGGCAAAGCCATCATGGTATATCCAGCAGTGCAGCGTTCATCAAGCCGAGCATCAGCATGCCCATCACGGAAGGCTATCGATTTACATAATGCTAATCCATACAAGGGCAAGCACTTTAAAGATTCTGGATATATCATCCTTCCTCCTAGGCGGTGTTGGACAGCATGGAGATCTCGATATTCTCTAAGAGCTTTCACAATCCTGAGTTGAATAAAACTTCGAGCCTCCTCCAATTTAGAGGCCAGAGCTTTCTCAATAGCTGCAGATAAGATAACCTCATACATTAGACACTTAAAACTACTAAAAACACAGGTATTAAAGTCAAAGAACCAAATGCAGGAAAATATTAGCTTATTGTACCCAGCCTCGTAAAAAGAGAAACAATGGCACCCGTATCAGCCAGGCGATACATTTCTCCTAAGTCTGAGACCACAGGTGCTGCTGTTGTGTGCACCCTAATGCGCCTTTCTCCAGAAGATGAAGTGTATCTTTTTTATTTACTAAGAATTGTTTCATGGAACCAAGAGGAAAGATAAATTCTCTTAAGGCAAGTTACTTTGTTTTCTAAAACATATACAAGATGTAGGAAAAGAATGCTTTCACTATTTATATATCTTTTTTTTATAAAAATAAAAATAAAAGAGTGCTAACAGGAAATCTAGAATTGGGTTCAAATTCTCTGAAGAATGATGCAGAAGCTGTTATTATGCTAAAGGATACAATAGGGCTACTTGGAAATAGACCGTCTGGGATGTAAGCAGTGTCTCCTCAAGCGATAACTGCATCGCATATGCTTTATCACAGTCAACAGCTGGAAGTGCCATTAGATCAGTAGATCTCAGCATGAAGTTCCCATGATACGTAGTGGAACGAACACCTGAAAGCACAAGGAAAGAACACCTTAGTGTCCAATGATGGAACCTGTGTGTCTAGTTGGTGGAGTACTATAATAAGATAACCTTTTCCACATCTTATACGCATGACAGACTCCCAAGCAGTCTCCCTTGTAAGATCTCTGGCTAACTCATGACGTAATTTATCTTTGTGAACAGCAGCTTGGAAACCTGGATAGTAATATACCTGACCACCTGTATACTTCGCAAGAGTCCCTAGACAACGTAATTGGAAATCAATATATGCCAATATCTCATAAAGGGTCACATCAAACAAAAGAGTATCAAAGACTACAAATTACAGAGATGTAAGTTATTGTCAAAGAAGTTAATGAAGCTAAACCAATCACAGAAACAGGAGAGGTTTCAGTAAACTAAAAAGTACGACATGACATTTAAACACCGAAGCTTTTTTACGATGTCTTTATTATAGAGATATTGTCTTGCTACTTACACTTATAACAACAACAACAACCCAGTATAATCCCACAAGTGGGGTATGGGGAGGGTAGAGTGTACGCAGACCTTACCCCTACCCCAGAGGGGTAGAGAGGCTGTTTCCGAAAGAGCCTCGGCTCGAGAAGAAGAAAAATAAACAATAGACAATAGATCAGTGACAGCAATAGAAGATAAAAAAATATTAACAGCATCGTAAGAAATAGAAAAATAGATGTAAAAGCAATAACTATAAACAACAATACTACCATAGAAAATAGTAGGAAACTACATAAACCACTAACAACCCACAGCGAAACAACAACAGGCCAGCCCCGCCCCCGGAACAACCCTACCTACAACCCTAATGCTCGACCTCCACCCCTTCCTATCCAGAACCCTGTCCTCGGAGATCTGAAGTCGCGCCATGTCTTGCCTGATCACCTCACCCCAATACTTCTTAGGTCGTCCTCTATCTCTCCTCGTACCTGCCAATACTAACGTCTCACACCTCCTAACCGGGGCATCTATGCTTTTCCTCCGTACGTGCCCGAACCATCTAAGTCTCGTTTCCCGCATTTTGTCGTCCATGGGAGCCACGCCCACCTTCTCCCGAATATCTACATTCCTAATCTTATCCAGCCTAGTGTGTCCGCACATCCACCTCAACATCCTCATTTCTGCCACTTTCATCTTCTGGGTATGGGAATTCTTGGTTGCCCAACACTTAGCTCCATACAACATGGTCGGTCTAACCACCGCTCTATAGAACTTGCCTTTGAGTTTCGGTGGCACTTTCTTGTCACACAGGACTCCAGATGCTAACCTCCATTTCATCCACCCCACTCTTATACGGTGCGTGACATCCTCGTCTATCTCCCCATCCCCGTGAATAATTGATCCAAGGTACTTGAAACTCCCTCTCTTAGGGATGACTTGAGAGTCAAGCCTCACATCCATGTCCGCTTCTCCCGACTCATCGCTGAACTTACACTCCAGATATTCTGTCTTAGTCCTACTCAACTTAAAACCTTAACCTCAAGGGTCTGTCTCCAAATCTCGAGCCTCTCATTAACGCCGCTTCGCGTCTCATCAATCAGTACTATATCATCAGCGAACAACATACACCATGGCACCTCCCCTTGAATATGGTGTGTTAGCGCATCCATCACCAGGGCAAATAAGAACGGGCTGAGCGCAGACCCTTGGTGCAACCCCATAACAACAGGAAAGTGCTCCGAGTCACCTCCCACAGTCCTAATCCGAATCTTAGCTCCCTCATACATGTCCTTTAATACCCTAATGTAAGCTACCGGCACACCTTTCCCGTCCAGTCATCTCCAAAGAACCTCCCTAGGAACCTTGTCATACGCTTTCTCTAGGTCAATAAACACCATGTGCAAATCCTTTTTCCTATCCCTGTACTGTTCCACCAACCTCCTAATAAGGTGGACAGCTTCTGCAGTGGACCGACCCGGCTGCCCTCCTCACCCTTCCTTCCACCACCCTCTCCAAAACTTTCATGGTATGACTTAGTAACTTGATGCCTCTATAGTTGTTACAATTCTGGATGTCACCTTTGTTCTTGAACAGCGGTATCATCGTACTCCACCTCCATTCATCTGGCATACTCTTCGTCCTGAATATAACATTAAATAGCGCAGTCAACCATTTCAAGCCTGCTCTACCCACACACCTCCACAATTCCACCGAAATTTCGTCTGGCCCAGTCGCTTGGCCCCTACTCATCTTGCGCATAGCTCCTACGACCTCCTCAACCTTAATACGCCTACAATACCTAAAGTCTTGGTGACTCCCAGAGTGACCCAATTCCCCTAGTACAATGTCTTTGTCCCCGTCTTCATTCATAAGCCGATAGAAGTGATCATGCCATCTCCGCTTAATCTAGGCATCTTTCGTCAATACTCTGCCTTCCTCGTCCTTGATGCACCTCACTTGATCCAGATCACGAGCCTTCCACTCTCTAGCCTTGGCCAGCCGAAATAGCTTCTTCTCCCCTCCTTTGTCCCCCAACTCCTCGTACAGACGACCAAACGCTGCATCCTTAGCCTCCGTGACCGCTAACTTCGCCTCCTTCCTGGCTTCCATATATCTTCCTCTATTCACTCTCCTCTTTTCCTCGTTTGTGCTCTTCACTAACCTAAGATACGCTGCTTTCTTTGCTTCCACTTTACCTTGTACCACATCATTCCACCACCAGTCGCCTTGGTGCCAGCCATAGTAACCCTTCGAGACCCCTAGCACCTCTCTCGCTGCCTTTCTTATACAGTCCGCCGTAGCTGTCCACATCTCGCTAGCGTCCCTGCTACTCCTCCAGGCGCCCATAGCCATCAACCTCCCCTCCAACTCCTGAGCTTTATCCCTCGTCAAGGCTCCCCACCTGATCCTCAATTGACCCTGGACAAACCTCTTCTTCCTCCTTAATAATATACCGACGTCCATCACCAAGAGCCTATGTTGTGTCGCGAGAGTCTCACTCGGGATAACCTTGCAATCCACACACAGCCGCCTATCACATCTCCTGAGGAGAAGGTAATCAATCTGAGTCTTAGCCACCGTACTCCGGAAAGTAACCAAATGCTCCTCCCTCTTCGGAAAACTAGAGTTCGCGATCACCAACTCAAAAGCTCTAGCAAAATCCAACAGTGAGATACCTCCTCCGTTCCTATCCCCAAAGCCGAAGCCACCATGCACCTCGCCATATCCATCAGCAGCAGACGACCCTATATGCCCATTGAAATCCCCTCCTACGAATAACTTCTCCGCAAGCGGCACACCACGCACCATCTCGTCCGGCCCCTCCCAGAAGTTTCTTTTAACCTCCTCATCTAAGCCCGCTTGCGGCGCATATGCACTAATAACATTCAGAGCTACTTACACTTATATAAAACTTAAAAGTAAAAGCACAGTTTATTGAAATTATCAAGGCGGTTGCCAAATCAGCCTTCTGCGCCGAACATCTCTTTGAGGTCTCTTTATAGAGACCAGATTTAGTTTGGCTAATTAAAAGGCCTCACATACATCGGCAAGTGAATTTAAACATTTGGAAAATCATAAGGCGCAAAAACTAATGATTCGTATCTTAAAATTATTAAACTGTTTGTGTCTGGAATAGATGGTATATCTGAGTTTTAGGCAACGACACAGAAATATCAATCAAACAAGTAGAGACAAGTCGAGAAAGAAAGCTAGTTGGACGACATCATAGAAGGCAGGCCGTAAGAAGTTTTGCTTTTCCATTCTAGTTTTTTAGATGTTAGTTATAGTGGACGTTCAATTACGTAATATAGATATATCAATATGTTGTTACAGTGAAAGATCAACTACCTAATGTAGCTATATCAGTATATTTGTCGCTGAAACCGTATACATTAACTGCTACTTGATACTTGGTGAAATCGGCAGCCATCTGTTTATAGAAAGGATCTTCTGGAGTTCTCAATGTATGCTCCTTGTCAGTTCCATAAACACGAAGATCATCTCCTCGCAGTCTTAAGCGGCCAACACCTAATGATGGAAGAGTGTGCTGAAAGATCAGCAATTTACCACCAAGTTGACTCTGGAAGCAGAGAAGCAAGATTAGTCAGTGTGGAGTCAACATATGGCAAAAAAGGTGATTTTACGATTGACTAAATTTGGACAGCAAACTTCTCTGATACCAAGGACATAACTCAATCAACAAATCATGTACAGAGATGGTAGAAAGAAGTCCACGCACCATAACCATGAAGGCTGCTTTAAGAGCTGGACCAAAAGCTGATTCCACATTTACATTCTCCTGGAACATTGAAGGCAAGCTATCTAAAAATGCATCTACCACAGTTCTTGATTCCGACAAATTGACAAGGAGATCATCTGGCAACGGAATAAATACATCGTCCAGATCTGACATGACGATCATTTGTGGCTGAGTCAAGGATGACTGGCAGAAGAGCAAAAGAACCTTATAATTTATACACTAGAAGGATATTAAAAGTACGCCCACATCAAATCACTTGCCTTCATATTATAAAAGTGTAATGTACTGTCATAAGTTATAAACCCGATCTGTGTTCTGGGAAAGCCAGGCAAATTGTCCAAACAACTCTTGATCGTTTGTGATACAACCTGAAAAAGATTTGTAAACTGGTAAAGAAAGAGACTAAAGTAGAAGTGTGCTCTCAATGCGTCGCTTTTTGGTCTCATCCATAGTATTGTTCAAGCCATGAGTTCCTTTGATCAAATTTTGATCTCTCATGTTCATTGAGAAACAAGCTTCTCAGTTCTCAGTAGATTTACAGTCTCACTTCGCTTACTATTTCGGCCCTGGTGTCCAATTTCTTGCTGAACCTCCTATGGCTTAGGCTTCTGGCAGATTCAAGACTCCATAGGAGTCTCTTATATAGTTGTATGCATAGGTTGTTGTTTTCAAGGGTTCATGCCCACCTTTTCTTACCCAAAAAAAAAAGAAAGAAAGAGAATAAAGTAAATATGTCTATGAAGCTTTAATGGTTTAACCTGGAGAAATTGCATCCAGTAGCCTATCAAAGAGAAATTTGTAGAGATTGAGATTCAAGCCTTGCAGTTACAACACCACTTTGCCTCACCTAGGTATAGGGTTCTTCCTTTTTTTTAATAAGTACTTAGGTATAGGGTTCTAATCCCACCAAAGGCCTTTCCTCTTCTACCTTCCCCAACCCAGTTATTCAAAGGGCCAACCCTACCCCAAAAAATTTAGAAAAGAAAAGTGTAAGAATTAGCTGACCTCAAGAATAACTAGGCATTGAAAATTAAGCAAAAATTAATTAACCAAGAAAAGAATAGAGAAGGCCCTGTGACTAAACCTATATGGTTTCAGGTTCATATTTTCCTCTGCTTCCGGGAAAGCATTCCAATATTTATTGGGTATTATAATGGGCAAAGTAGAGGTCCTATCAAAATATGGACAATATGAGGAGCATCAGTTAGTGAGCAAAATGTATACAAGGAGGATAAGTTGTCATAAGTAAATTAAAGTCTGGATTGACATGCTTTTCAGTTAGATGCAAATTGCAAAGCTTGATAACTACAACACAAATGCATACCTCGAGCATTCCACTCTTCACAGCAGATACAGATACATCGATGAGGAAAAAGTAAAGTGGAGGCATTGGAGGCCGGACCATGTAATCAGTGGGAGCAATGAACTCCACACTCCCCTGGGTAAGTTCAGGCCTTAGATCCAAATCGATTCTTCTGCCACTGGCATCCAAATGGGCAAAATATTCGCCAGGAACTGGACATAAAGAGAATGATGACCCAATGCACTTCAAAATAGGACAAGTGAATCTACACCTATATACGTTACGGTAGCGAAGANGCTCCCCTTGGTAAGTTCAGGCCTTTGATCCAAATCGATTCTTCTGCCACTGGCATCCAAATAGGCAAAATATTCGCCAGGAACTGGACATAAAGAGAATGATGAGCCAATGCACCTCAAAATAGGACAAGTGAATCTACTCGTATATATGTTACGGTAGCAAAGAGAGAAATCTGCAAGTTTAAAAATATAAATAAAAACACAACTGCTACCCAGCTGGAAGGTTTGACATGGAATGGAACATCAATATGAACATACACTGAGATGTTAACCTAACAAATTAACCATATCAGGCCATGACAACTTCAGCAGTCACAAATAGAGAGAGGGCATTGGTTGAGTTTTAAAATATTATTAGCAGCATTTTCAATAAAAGGTGAGTGAAAAGCTGAAGAAAGACTAACAAAAGATGCAAATAAGGGAAAAGGCCTACTTAGAATATGTAAGGCAACATCATGAAAAAAAAGCCTCTTAGTTTAACTAGTTTTAAATTTATCTCTGAATTCGCTCCATAGATCTGAGAGTATCTACAGTTACTTAATCAAGGTCATCTTGCGACATTGCAACCCTTGCATTCCCATAATCCCATGTACACAAAGTCATAAGTGTAGAAGGGTGTGACGCTTCATTCCCATTAACCCCACTTCTCTCTCACTCTCTTTCACTCCCCACTCCTTCCATCCTACCTAACATTGGAAAGCCGATAAGTACAAACAGAAGTTCGCTTAGAAATGTTACTCCCTCCGATTCAAAAAGAATGAACCTATTACTATCTGGGGACTCAAAGTGTCAAACAAAATTTCTTTGACCGTATTTTTTGCAAATATTTTTTAAATATTTTGAATTGTTAACTATTGTGGCTTATAGTACTTTTTATGTAGTTTCTAAATATGTGAATTTTATTTCAAACAACTTAAAGAATCTATGTCCGAATTCACACTGAAATTAGGCAATTTGACCCTCGTACTCCGAAAAGGTTCAAACAAATTGAAACGGAGGGAGTATAAAATATTGGTGGACTTGACCTGTTTTCGCTACACAATATTAGCACTTTTAAGCACACCAAAATCAGATCATACGGCTTCAAAAAAATGTAATAGAGAAGAGATTTAAGAGCAGAATCAATACTGAGGAGTTGACAATACTTACCACCATTAAGCAATGCACATAAGTTACATCGCCACTTTCTTCCACTGTCTGTAAACGTCACATAGGGATTTACATAAATCCGGCACCTTTTACACCGTATGATGCCAGTTCGGGCAAAATTAACTACTGGAACTTCTTCCTGGATAAAGAAATTTTGCGGATAGAGCAATAAGAGATTTGCACAACGAAATAAAGCTTTCAGTATCAAATATGTAACTGTTACATTTCATGGATACAAACCCCATTAGGAGCTTCAGCAAGAGGAGAAACAACTGCTCCAAGAGTTAAGTGCCACCTTGAAGCCAAGGACTGAGAATTTGGTATACCACTAGTCGTTAGCCTCAAATATCTTAAACTACAGTTCATTGGATACATCTCGGACAAAGTGTTCCGTTCCAGGTCACCTTCCAATGGCCTTGGTAGAACTTTAGAATCAAGCCCCGGATCAAATGATCCTGGAACAGACCCAATAGAGAAGGAACTGAAATCTTCTTCTAAACCCTGCATAACTGCCGTAGGAGGTGTAGACCCGGGATGCTGCATTTGTTCCCTTGAGTTACCCAGTTGAGATGCTACTGATGGTGGAGCTGCATAGCCTCCTTGTTGGGCAAGATAGGGGCTAGATGTTGCTGGCATTGTCGGAACATAACCACCTTGCTGAGAAGGAAAGGCTAAAGATTGTCTTGGTTGAACCTGTGCACCCGCTGTATTTTGATAACTTATATACCCTGGAAAAGCAGATTGAAACCCGGGTCTGGCAGCAGGATAAGCTGGACCTGCTGGTGGTGAAGATGGATGCATGGTCGCCCTGGCAGCAGAAAACTGGGAATCTACGGGTGACCGAGGAACAACTGGACCGGGTTGCACCATGCTCGCACTTTGAGGGGGGAATCCCATAGGAACATGAGGAGGTTGGATTTGGGGATTAAGGGAAACATGAGATGTTGAGAAGGGACCTGAAACGGGTCTAACTGGTGGTTGTAAAACAGGTTGGCCTGCAAGTGAAGAGCGTGGTGGAGGTACCCCAGCTGTAGAAGAAAACTGTGGTGCTGGAAAGCGTTGGTAAGGCCCAGCAGCTGGTGGTCCATATGGAGATGGAGATGTTGGAGGTGGCCTAGCTGCATCATTAGGCATACCTGATGGCATTGTTCTAAAAGCAGAGGCCTCAGTTCCAACCATGGCGCCAGATGCAGAGGAAAGAGACGTAATCTGGGAAGAACTAGGAGAAGCATGCCGAAATGCAGAAGCTTCGGATCCAACCACTGGACCAGATGATTGAAAGGGTGTTGAACTTTGTGGAACACTAAAGGGAGAAACAGGCCTCGAGGGAATGGCAGGACCATTAGGATATTCAGTGCCCATGTTTTCAAAGAACTGTTCCTGTTAAAATACTAGCAGCAACAAACAGAGATGTCACAGAAAAAGTAAAACTAGACTTGTACATTAGCTAAAGAGCAGGTGTTCCAAGATCCCAAGACTGGAAAGGGAAAAAAAGTATACCAAAAAAAACAAGAAGCTATTGTTTAAACAATAACACATTAACATAAGAGCTAAAAGCATATAAGAGCGAGAAGACCCGTTGAACTTTAAGCAAAAAGTGAAGGGCAAGCTTCTTCAAAGTGAAACATAAATTTTCAGAAAATACAAGAAAAGCATCTTGCATATATAAAAGGGCAAAGGTCCAAATATGCCCTTGTACTATACGAAATTGAGCACATTTACCCTTCGTTAATACTTTAGCTCAAATATGCCCTTACCGTCATATAGTTGGTCCATATATACCCTTAGAGTTACACAGTTGGCCCATATATGCCCTTTTCGAAACGGAATTCACTCGAACTAATTAGCTCTTTCGTTAATTGTATTAAAGTGTATTACAAACACTATTTCCTTTTTATTAGTATTTTTTTTTTCTTTACCTTTCTCTTTTCTTTCTTCTCTTTTTTTTCCTTTTTCTTTCTCCCTTATCCGATTTCCTCCATTACTAATGTCTTTTCCATTTTCGTCACCAATTTCACTTGACAAAACTCATGAATTCCAATTACTAAGAAAATTCTCCCATAAGGTAATCAAATTCCAATTTCACTGGCCCTCCAAATAAACGAAATTAAATTGTTCCAACAATTATGGTTTAAACTTTAAAATAATAAAAACATCTCAACCTTTAACAATACTCAAAAGACCAAAATATTTAAATTGTTTCCAGAAAGATAATTTAATGATTAAAAGCCTAGAGTTCATGTTGTAGTGTTATAAATTTGAGTTGTTAGTCTTTTTTCATCTTTTTTTCAGCTGGACATTTTCTATTTTTTTTATTAACTATGTAAATTAGGGGTGTACATGGAACGGGTTGATTAAAAACCGAACCAAACCAATTATATCGGTTTGGATTGTTCAGTTTTGTTGGATTTTTCGGGTGTTTTGTTACATAAATATTATTTCAATCTTACTTTGTTAAATTTTTTAGAACTAAATATATGTTCAGTAAAAATTAAAAAATTGACAAACATATGATCTATAAAAATATTCTTATGGGAGAATTTTCTTAGTAATTGGAATTAATGAGTTTTGTCAAGTAAAATTGGTGACGAAAATGGAGAACACATCAGTAATGGAGGAAATCGGATAAGGGAGAAAGAAAAGGGAAAAAAAAAGAGAAGAAAAGAAAAAAGAAGAAAGAAAAGAGAAAGGTAAAGAAAAAAAAAAGTACTAATAAAAAGGAAATAGTGTTTGTAATACACTTTAATACAATTAACGAAAGAGCTAATTAGTTTGGGTGGATTCCGTTTCGAAAAGGACATATACGGGCCAACTATGTAACTCTAAGGGCATATATGGACCAACTATGTGACGGTAAGGGCATATTTGAGCTAAAGTATTAACGAACGACAAATGTTCTCAATTTCGTATAGTACAAGGGCATATTTGGACATTTTCCGTATGTAAAATTCGTATGCTTATTCATAATGGAAATCAGAAATACTCATATTTTTCTGACTGCAGGTCGCTGCTGAATGAACTCCGAATGCTGGAAATTTGCCACACCTACAGAGAGGGTAATGGTGTGGCTGATTTACTGACAAGATTAGGATAGACATTAGCCTATGAAAATAGGCAGGATTTCGGTAATCTTTTATCTCCCTCCAAACTTTACTTCATCGCACTTAGAACAAGACTCTTAAGGAACTATAACTTTTCATTCAGTTCCATGTTGTAATAACTACCTTCACTTTTCAATAAAATGTCTTCTTTTAGCAACAAAAAAAAATTGTACTTAACCATTAACATCGCAATTAGGAGTGGCAAACGGACGGGGCGGGGCGGATATGGTTCGGATCGAAAACGGGTAATGAAAAAACGGATAAATTGTCCGACCCGACCCATATTTAATACGGATAAAAAACGAGTTAGCCGGCGGATAATATGGGTAACCATATTATCCATGACTTCTTGCATATGATCACTTTTGAGAGAATTCTTAGTCTCCCTAACCTGAGTAACCCCCAATTTGAGGCTTTACAAATGTAAAAGTTAGACCAATTGGTCATCCATTGGTTATTCATTTTCTAAATTGATAATATGGTTCTTATCCATATTTGATCCGTTTTTAAAAAATTCATTATCCAACCCATTTTTAGTGGATAATATGGGTGGTTAACTGTTTTCTTTTAACCATTTTGCCACCCCTAATCGCAATTAACACCACTAATCTCAGCATCAACATAAAGTAATAACATTAATTTCAACAACTCAAATTTAACATCACTCCACACAAAGTAAACTTTAACTGCAAAACTTATTTTCAATATTCAATTAACTAGACATAAAAGAATTACTTGTATCTTTAATTTCATAATTTGATTACTTTAGTAACTCTACAAATAATCAGCTTTAGCAAGAGTCGCCTTTTATTTTCCAAGCAATCCATTTATAAAATCAATAATTGGAGAATAGAAAACAAAGCAGAAAGCAGAAAGAAAAGGAGAAAAAGAACTATAGCATGAGATAGTATAAGAGAGGGAAAAAAGCTAAGGTAATATTTCATCGATGTTTTGGGGTAATGAAACCCTGTATACAAGTAGTACATCAGAAAGTAAAGAATCTACACCAAAATATGGATTTCTACAAAAGACAATCAATCGTCTACACAAATTGAGATCTCGTGGGTGCACTAAAAACTTATCAAAAACAAAAGAGATGTCTTAATCTTTGCAAGATCATATTCCATCCCTTCAAAGTTCATTTGTTCCTTTCCCTCCAAAGCACCCACATAAGTGCTAGTGAGTCTACATTCCACGCTCTACATTCTCTTCTTCTAAAATCAAACCAAGAGAAGCGAAGAAATTACAGAGGTAGAAAAGGAGTCATCTCAAAATTAGAGCAGAATAAGAAGTGGGGGATGAGAATACTTAAGTGTAAGGAGAAGACTCCTATCACTCATATATCAAAGAGCTTTGCTTTTCTAATATTCTATCTCTTTTATTTTCATCTTTTAAATTCATCCAAAGAAAAACATCCTTCTCTTTTCAAGTGTATTACCTTGCGCCTCATAATTTCTAAGGAGGTCTGGTTGACAAAGCTTGGTTTTTATTTCTTGAGTCAAGAGTAAATATTCCCCGCAGCATGCTAATCTGTGGTTACTTGTGATTCCAACCTGAAATGCATTGCCCTCTATAAAATCTTATCACTGCACCTACGATAAATGATGGTTTTGCATTGCTCTTTAGCTTAGGCGGAGCGGAGCGATCACTTTAAATAACTGTTTTCAGTTTTTCCCATTACAGTTAATTTGCATAGAAAATAATGAATTGTTTTGAGATAGAGAGAAAACGGGTGAATGCTTAACTGTGAAGGCGATGCTAAAAGATCCATTCATTTCATTTAGCTGGTGCTCTGCGAAGAAGAAAATTCATAAGTTGCCTATAGCAGCTAAATCTCACAGGGAAACACTCGAACGCATTGATCAGTGGGACAGTATGAGCGGTGTGATTAGAGGAAGATATCACACCGCTCATACTGTCCCACTGATCAATATCCAAGATATTAGACCAAGTATACAACAAGAACAATTACCACTACTACTATGTCTGAATCCCGAATAGTTGAGGTTAGCTCTATGAACCCTCAATATCCATTCTTTTCATTCTAATACCCAATAATTTCTCTTCTAGTACAAAAATCATAGTGTCTCAACATTTTCTACTAATAACTTTTATTTCACAAAGTTATTCATTCCAATTAATAGAAATTAAACTAATACTAGCATCAACACCTGAATAAATTGCCAAAACATATGTATTTTAACTAAACGCAGTAATCAAGCGAATCACCAAATTCAAATATTCAGCAATATGGTTAAAGGAAAATCACAATTAGCCTACAACTAACATTCAACAAGTTTGACTGAAATAAAATCTCATTCGCAAAATTAAAAGAAAATCCGATTTTTATTTTATTTTTTAAAAACAGTGCATAATTGAAGCAAATAAAACTGGCATACCTATGAAAGAATTTGGAGTGCAGGTTGAATTAACGTGATTAAAGATCTCGCCGTGAAGTCACCGGGAAAATGTGGAATCGGAGTTGAGAGATTCGGCGATCAGCTTCAGCGAGATCGAAGTAGCGGTCAAGTCTCCAATAGTTAACAGTTAAAATTTGGGCAGCAAACATTTTGGCTAAACTTATAAGCATTAACTATTTGAGGCATGTAAATTCTCTATTCATTCCCATATTTGTATCTATATCTATATGATTATGTATTAATCTTTTAACTGTACGTAATAAATGAGGGCATATCAAATTTTTGGTATATTAGTTTCAAAGTGTTGTGCTGACGAAGACAGTATTTCTCTTCAAATATTTTATCTTATTTAGGTTTATTTTTTTATTGAGAAACTTTCGTCAATTTATTAATTATTATAACTTATGATTATATGCTTATCGTAAAATAAATTATATTTATCATAAAAAGTATCTTATCTAATCACAGTTGTATTTAAAATATAATGACAAATAGAATATTTTGTATTTGAATCAATCCGTAATCTAAAACTTTGAAGAAATTATGCCATTATAAGTGTAAATAGTTCTAAGGTTATTCAAGTCATTTTAACAGGAAAAAGAGCTTATCGGCACTTTTTTATCAAATATTGCAGCAGTTTATTATCAATTTCAGCACTTGTATCCAAACATATAACTGCTTATTTGTTAAATCAGTTTCAGCACTTAAAAGTGCTTTTCAGCACCTAATGTTTATCAGCTATTTCAAATCAGCTAATCCAAACGGGCTCATTATTCTTTACCCTAGTTTTAGTGAGTGTTTGGACATAAGAATTGTAAAATTTCAAAATAGGTGTAAAAATATTTTCAAGTGAAAATGGTATTTGAAATTTAGAGTTGTGTTTGGACATGAATATAATTTTGGTTTATTTTTGAAGTTTTGTGAGTGATTTGAGGAAATATTTTGAGGAAAAGTTTTGAAAAATAATTTTTTGGAGTTTTTCAAATTTTCGAAAATTTTCAAAATGCATCTTCAAATGAAAATTGAAAATTTTATGAACAAACGCTGATTTCGAGAAAAAAAAAAGTGACATTTTTTTGGAAAAAAAGAAAAAAATCCCTATGTCCAAACGGGCTCTTAGTGTACATGTTTCCACCTCAATAAGTAATTGTTTTGTAAAAAAATTACATATATTTTTTTTTAAATCTTATTTGAGTTATAAAATAAAGTGTAAGCTTATAAAATTGATAAACTCAATAAAGGAACAAAAGTGTTCATAAAAGTCTTATGTCGTTCACCTTAAATAATGTCCCATTTATAATTTTATCAGTTCAATTTCACAAGTTCTTGTGCTTCTTTTTTAGTTTCTTAAAAAATACATAGGCCTTAATGATTTTAGATTTTCTGAAATTTTCTTCAAATTATATTCTCAAGTTCATTCGAAAAGAAATAATAAGGTATAGACTTTTATTACGATTCTTTAAAGATTCGTCAAATAACATAAATTAAAATTTTGAGTCTTATGTTTTCTCATTATCTCCCTTCAAAGGTTTTAATATTATTCATTTACTAAGATTTTAGCTGTTGAAATAAAAAGAAAAAAAATTATAAATTCATAACTTTGTTGAAACGTGCATCGACAAAGAAATCATTACTAAAACATGAAAATTAAATAGGACGAATAAGTTACTATGAAAAGCTATTGAATTCATGAGTGTGTACATACATATTAAGTTAGACATTTTTTATATATTATTCATTTTAAAGTCTTAAATATTTGGACTTTTTACATAGTTCAAATAAGAAATAATTTAGTAAGTAAAATTTTAATTATCTTTAAAGTCCTAAATATTAGTAAAATATTTATATTATATTTTTATTCAATATGAAAGTTACTTTTCAGGGTAAAAAATTCAATCAATATTTCGTATAGAGATTACGTGCTTTTATAACATTGATTTAGGCTTGTATGATTTTGTATGATTAAATATGGTATCAAAATAAGTTTTTTGGGTTCCTAATCGAATTTGATTAATTATTTTGTATGACTGAAAGGAGAATTTTGCAAATAAATATTTAATTATTTTTCATTGAAATAATATTAGTTTAGATGTTATTGTATTAAATAATTTTAATTTAATATGCAATTTTATGTCCCCATATTACAATTTTATTAGAAATCATTCAAGTCGCCGTATTAGTTCTTATCTTGATTCTATAAGACTGCACAAAGAAGTTATTTTAGATTAGTACAAATTATAAAAGCTAAAAGATTTATTAATTTTAAATTCCTAAATATTAGGAATTCTTACCTAGCTTGATAAGGAAAGATTTAATATGCAAAATTTTAATTGATTTTATAAAGTCCTAAATATTAGAAAAATAATTTAAATTACAAGTTTTCCGTTGTAAAGGCTGTTATTAAAGGATAAAAAAAGGCGAACAACATTTCGCTAAGGGCCTTCGTGCTTTTAATATAACTAGTTTCCGGGTACGTGTGTTACACGTGTAAGCCGCGTCTGTTTGTAAGAAAATTATATATCACACGAATGAACTATGTGTAATAGTAATTGATGTAGAAATGGATTGAACATGAAACTGAAATGATAAGAAGAGTGTCATTACATTGATTTAATAGGTGAATTCAAATATGATTAATATCTTCTTAACCTGCAAATGTCAACACTACAATTAGTTAAGGTCGTGATATGTGTAGGATTTGTAATTATACATAAATATATTGTATGAGTAAATAACATGTTATGTTGTTGTATCTTACCTAATATCTCTTTGTAGACAATATTCTTGGTGTATGTGCCCCTTCGTCTCTTTGGTTGCTCTGTCATGACCAAAACTCTTCTTGTTGACATCGATACACCTCTTGATAGTGCGACATATAGTTGTCCATGTGAAAAAATATGTTGTGGTAAGTACAATCCAACGTTGGGTATTGTTTGACCCTGTGCTTTGTTTATTGTTATTGAAAAACATAAATGTACTGAAAATTATTTTCTGACGAATTTAAATGGGTATCCTTCATTTTCTGGCGGCGAAAGTTAAATTCTCGGAATAAACACATGTTTGGAAGCATTTTGTCCCATCATTATTTCTGCATGTATAATGTTATTGTCAAAACTTCTGCATATCATTCTTGTACCATTGCATAAGCCGTTTGAAGGATCCAAATTTCTTAGTAGCATGATTGGTGCATTTTTCTTCAACACTAACTTGTATAGCAATATAAATTAATTATTTGTATGTAATTGAATAAAAACAAAATAGAGTTATAAATAGTAGACAAAGGATCTTTCGTTTTATAATTTTCAGAAGTCCGTGTCTTTAGTCTAGTATTATAATCTTTTAGATTTTTTATAGTCCTTTCATTCTTTTGCGAAACATTATTATGAGAACTTGAATTGGATTGTTAACTATTTTGACATGGCATAAATAATTTCAACCACATCTTTTTCTTATATTATTCCTCAACTATGGATGAAAGAAGAACTGCAACATACATGTTTTATTTAATATGTATAGTTTTTGTTACTGTCTTAAAGTACATACAGTGGTATTGAAAATCAGAAAGTATCAAATGTAAATTTCACTAAGGGAAACTGGAGAAAGTTAAAACTAATGGAGAAATTTAAATAATAAATATAGTTAAATAGCTTAAATAATTTTGGCAAATGTAATCCATTAATTTTACTTACCAACAAACTGTTTGAAGTGTAAGAAAGCACTGCGAAAAAATGATGATTCGAACGAAAAGAGAGAGCACGACAGTTCAATTTGTACAAAAATTCCAAAAAACCAGTGTGATGGCGTACCTCTGTGGTGGAAGATTATTTGGTGTTAAAGTATTTAGGCACTCTTCCTCGTAATAGTTATTTGTTAAAGTATTTAGGTACTTCCTGATAATAATTATTTGTATCATCCTTAGCAGAGTCGAAACTAATAAACGTCATACTCTTACCAAGAAACTTAAAAATTAACATCTTATTTAGTTGATCGACATATTCATTTTCGCTCGCTAAAATAGCTCTTTCTGTCATGTATTTGGAGCAACTTGCATTTTCATCTAATGACGAAAATATTTCTCTTATTAAGCAATCTTCGGCAATACTATTACCAATATGTTTGACAACTAATTCTTCTGGAAGTTGTACCAAATCATCTCTTATGGTTGGTTCCTCCCCGTCACCGATGCATAGTAGAAAATCACGGAATACAGGATCTGTTCTTGCTCTCATATTTTTTGTCAACTTAATCTTTTCCATTTTATGCCACAAGTATGATTTTACTAAGCTTGCATTTATTGTTTCAGCTCTCGTAGATTTTTGTAACGACCCGACTTATCGTTTTGAACATTTACGATCCTTCCAACTGTCACGACCCAAAACTAACCGCTGTCGTGATGACGCCTATCGTGGAACTAGGCAAGCCGAATCATTTCCAAAACAAACCGATATTTTCATTTTAAAGATAATTTCAAGGTTATTTAACATAAAACCTCCAATTAAAGAGTTCAAATCAAAGAAAAACAGAAGTGCGGAAAAGAAAAGCCCGACATCGGGGTGTCACTAGTCATGATCATCTACTACAATCTGTTTAACAATATCAAGGCTAACTCAGCCTGGAATATAGCTAAATATAACTAGAGGAAGATACGAGGGAGAAGAGCAGGGGCTGCGATCGCCAAACAGCTACCTTGCTATCTCCAAGAAAATCTGTAACCAGAACACTCAATAATCGCTACCGTGTCTAGCTACACCTGAATCTGCACACAAGGTGCAGGGAGTAATGTGAGTACGCCAACTCAGTAAGTAACAACAATAAATAAAGATTGAGCAGTAGTGACGAGCAATAAAGCATATAACATTCATATCATGAAATCTCAGTAAAGTACAACATGCTTTAAAATCAGTGTTTGAATCAAATCATATCGTTTAAACCCGGTTCCAGCAAAAATCATTTAAAGATATTTTTCCAACAGTTTTTCAAATAAAGGCTCAATGCAAAGGTGAGCANCATTTATATGCATCAAAGAAGAGTCATAAAATTGAGTTATGCGGTAAACAAGTATAAACATGATTGAGTATAGATTTTCAATCGAAAACAATGAGAGGATGGTAAGAAATAGCCCCTAAGGGTCCAAACAGCATTGGCGTAAGGCCCAAACATGGCAT